ATTCGTTGTTTATCGATGGATTTTGAATAAATCCAAATAAATCTAGTCCCTTAATAACGAGCTAGCCAAAAGTCGTCCTGCAGCCTATAAATTAAAGTTTTCGCAGATATTCCGCAATGCAGTAGCTCGAACAAAATGGAATGACACTATTATACGATGACGTTTCAAGGATTGGTGTTCTTTGTATAGGAAAGCTAGTCAAACTACCAGTGTGGAATTAATAAATTGAAAATCTTTAATGCGTGAGGCCCATATGTACCCACCTATATGTTTTATACTTTTACAGCAATATTTATCACGTATAATTATAGGTACCACCAATGGAATATAATAGATAGTATTGGATTGTAGTAAATTGCATTTTAATAAATTAGTATTGATTTGTCTTACACAATATATATTTAGACATCTCATTCGATACTTCACACATCAAAATTTTATTGTAGTAGCTACATTGGCACTTCGGCTGATTTTGTTTGAGGTCATAATGTATTTCTAAGTATTCCTATTTAGCCTGATAATTCTATTAAGACGTAGGTCACTTTCCGTTACCAGGCCGATTTAATTAATCGTTAAGTTTTCGTTCACACATTTTTTAAAACTACCTTTATGTAAGATAATAAAGTTCTTACCATTACACTCTCCACGTCGTACTCTCTCCAGCTCAGAAGTAAATTAGGGTTTTCAGATAAAACACCAATCGGCTTGCTCCTAATCTTACTTAGTTACTCAATAAAAAATGTATAATCCATTTCGTGTGATCAGGCTTAATCTAGTTTTTGTTATTTATTTGGTAATAAGCGCGTGTTCAATGAAGGGCAATACAAAATATCGTCGCCGATTTATTCTGGCTTGCCTAATCACTGCCTTATGCTAATGCGTAGGCCTATTTCGAAACGTTGACATATAAAGAGTATAGCAACATACAAATGAACGCCATCGATACCTACGTTGTCAATTTTAGCATACAATAGAACTTTCCTAGCACACGACGTCGACACGATGACACGAAGACAGTATTCGTTTCCGGTGAATCAGTCAACATTGTCCTAAGTGGCAAGTTAACGCATAATTTGTTCTACAACTTAATATGAATAAATATAACTTGGATTCTTGGTTTCTCAGGTTTTTGATGTTAAATAAAAATAGTTATAGCTTGTACACTCCTAGATGATAAATGCAGATCGAAGGTGGTTATATAATACCAGGAGTCTTTATCCTTACGGCATCTTTTCAAGGAAAGTCAAATCAGAATGATTTATTGATGTAGGTAACCGTGTACCTAACACGTATGAATGTCAATACAGTTAAAAAAACATAGACTCTTAATTTGAATTTATTACTAGGTTTCACATTGAATAAACAAAATAATTGTCTCCCATTCTAATAAACTGCATATGACGAATTAATCATAAATAGTACCAGCTGCTAATGTGGACAAAGGTTACAATGTATGAGTGTGACATGAAAGAAGGGATAGATCGTGAAATGACGTCACGCAAACATATGAATCGTGACGTAGGCTAAATCTGTTTACGGAAGGACATTTGCGACAGCCAATACCTAGACGATGTGCGGATAGAGACGATTTAACGGTTGAAAACGCGAAATATATAAGTTAAACGTCGAGCCATAGTTAAAATAATTTTAAATAAACTCAACTAATACATTTCACGTTTTAAAGTATTTCATTTAAATGTGTACTACTTGTGTAAACTACAGCCAGTGTTTAACTTATTCTTAACAACTCCGTAAATGTAGGTAAAGATATTCCGTTTTTAACAGAATAAGAGCAGACAAGAAACAAAAATTGTTCAACGAAACATTAGTTTATTGTTGTTATCGTAATTGGTTATACTAAAGAGGAAACGTTACCTATTTATAAATCGTGCCGAGAAAGAGACTTTCCGCCACCGTTGAGCGCCTGCCGGTCGTGTCGAGACAAAGCGCTGACGCGGCTTTTTGTGACCCATTTCAGCGAGCCCTATTGAAAGGCGTTGATGTTGTGGAAATGGGCCTTTCTTCACTTTCCGTCTGCTTATGATAAACAATCTTTTCTTTCCAAGTTGACTTAGTTAATTTAAGTCGATGTAACGCCTACAGTCTTAAGATACTTTCATATTATTTATCGATAAGGCCTTTTCTCTTTTTTATTTAAAAGTGGTAATAGGTTCTTTGTATGATTGTATAGTTTTAAAAAAGTAAGTTAAAGTATTTACTAGGACATAACTCGCTAAAACATCTTATCATTTTTTCATCAAACAGTTTCAGAGGTAAATTTAAACCAGCAGGCACTAATAACGTTAACAGTTAAATTCCGAATTTCTTACGTTTAAAAAAGATATACACACTTTATCGCGTAAATACTACAGCAAGCTGCCGTACAATTTGGGGACGTAAATGGGATATGTCAAGAGCAGATCTCGGCTTTATTAAAGCGTCACTTTAATTTCAATCCACGTCACCCTTTATCACTTATATAAGGGTTTTAAGAATCTTTACGACGCGTCCGCAGCCCTGAGCCGCTATCGCCGGCTTATTAGTTGAAAAAGCGCGAATTAATTAAAAATAATGAACCGTAATGAACGATTGTGTGTCGCGATCAATATCCGAGAGAACAGTGCTACGACCACACTCCCTGACATATAACATATGCCTTATAATACCCACTTAAATAGCTAGAAAGAGTTTAGTCTGAAAAGGCTCTTAATGTTAAAACTAGCTAGAAAGCCTACAAGGCATAAAAAAGTACACTACTTCATCTTACCTTCGTTAAAGATAGGTTTTCCAAATATCTAGGGCCTTTTTAGATTAAAATTAGAAGTATTGACATGTGTATCATTTCATCATATAATCTCTGGTCAGTGATAATCTCCTTCTCTATTCTTTCTTTCGCAACCATTGATGACATAATATTGCTAACAGGTATGTGTAGAGAGAGAGAAGAATCGAATAATCTAAGCTTAGGCAAGTCTAACACTTGACTTAGTTCAAAATATTCACGATATTATACGGTAATACTGTTATTTACGCTTCATTTTAGATATGTATGTACTTCTAATTCTTTCCTAATTTTATAATTCACGTTTGCTGTATCTTGTTGATCAGATCAGAATTATCGCCAGTGTAGCCACAGCCTAACAACTTAAAAGTCCATCCGCACATTAACGATGTTATCAGCAACGCGTATAAATAGCAGTGTTTACAGCTCAAAAAATTCTTGAATATTTATATGGAGATTTTAATTAGTATATCACTTATAAGACGGTAATGGCAGCTTCTGATGGATGTGTTGTTTACTTAACAACAATTAAAGACTAGGTGTGGCTTTGTAAAAGATAATTGAAATAATAAATGTTTTTTCGTTTAAATAACTGATTACATCATTGGATCCTTATTAAAATATCGACGCAGGCAACTTCGACATTTCGGAATCTGTACAAAATGTCTGATTTATTATTAGTAAAACAGTAATAATATAAATGTCGGTTCAATTAATAAATAATAAATAGAACTGTCGACCTATTTTGACTTTAGATTCGGAAATCCACAGGTTTCTCATCTATGGACGGTGGATCGCGACCTGGACGGAATTGTCGACGTTCCTACATCCTACCATCCAGATTTCCAGATGAAATCTAACAAGTTTTGGAGAAATTATAAATTGATTGAACCCATGGCATTATTACCATTGCACCAACAAGCCCGTTAAAGAATTTCTCTAAATAGAAAAAGAATAAGAATGATTTAGATAAAAATTTGAATCTATGCATTTTGAATTGAAAGAAACGTCATTAAAACTCATTTTATTAAACCTTAATACGCTCGCTCATTGACTTCGCTCTTGATGCCCCAGTCCAAAACGTTTCGGATCCACTCCTCGCGAACGGCCCTGCATAAAATACTTCGTTGTATTTGAAAACTTTAATATTTTTCACATGTCGTTGCGATGGCCCTATATATAAATTAAAAATCGATTATAAATTGAAAAAAAAATACGACTCGGGTAGGAATTGAACCGGCATCCACGGTGGTCCGTTCCACAGCTGTTCACCCGGTAGCTCAATTGGTTAGAGCTACGGATGCCAGTTCAAGTCAGTGTTTTTTTAATTTATGCTTCATTATATATTTTTCATTCAACAAGATCAAATGTGAAATTCCGCTTTCGTCTAAAGAGCCTAGGGTGAACACACATCTGTGTCCATTTCACTGATCTTTTCTTTCACGGCCTTAGTCCAAACTTGCGCTCAGCCCGACCGAAACATTTGAATGTTTCAGCATATATTAAATATTACCATACATTTAATAAAACGCTACATAATTGCATACTCAGCTAGGCAAGCAAATATCCGTTTACATGCTCAGTAACACATCTCACTACACCCGTAATTATTAGTGTTCACTATTAACTAAGTATGGTTGTGTCGTCTTCCTTTTTGATAACAGGAGAGGAGAGACAGCTATGGGATTCACGCTTAAGGTCTAGATTATATAACGACAGGCCTATGATTCAAGAGAACTGTAGCTAATATCACTAACAAGTTTATGACACTACATAATATATTTAAGTAGCTAAAACTAATGTATTTAATAAAACCATAGTAAATATAGTGTGTATAATTTATTTTAACTATCATACATGATTTATATACAACAAAAATCTAACCACCTTAAAATCTAGATAACTACTGTGCGTTCCGGCAAAATTATGACATATGATTTTACTTATTTTAATTTGATTTTGATGGAACTAAAATATTTAAATACATGTATTAAATATAATCTACTATATTGTCGGTACTTGACACGAGTAGTACTCGTAACGGTTTAAAATGTGTTTTATACCGTTGACAGTATTTTATTAAAAGATCTACAATATTCTTAAATGTCATATAGATACATATACATACGAGTACTTATATTTACAGGGAAATGACAGAAAGTTAGTGTGACTACTTTATGGTGCCTAAATATTAATTAATTCAATTGTAGATTCCAGGCTAATGACTAGATACTGCGTCTGCGTCGTTTCTGGCCATATACCTCTCGAAGAAGTGCAACAACTCGAAGCAAACCTCCGCCATAATGAGAGCGATGACCATCCACTCTAGCCTGACGTGGTGCCGGTCGGCAGCCCACGAAGACAGCAGTTCCAGAAGTTCCACGCAGTGAGAGAGACGCTCGTTTAATACCTAGACATTAGGAATTTAAAAAATTACATAAACCTATACTAATATATAAAGCTGAAGAGTTTGTTTGAATGCGCTCATCTCAGGAAGTACTGGTTCGAATTGAAAAATGATTTTGTTGGTTAAACTTTAAGCGAGGAAGGCTATAAACCAACGCGCTGCGATTAATAGAAGCGAATAAACAGCGGGAAACGTGTAGAAAGCGAGGAAAATTGTTCATCATTGTGGGTTTCCCTTACGTAGGTGAGAAAACGGTTCAAGATACCCAAAAAATATGTATTAAGGAATAATCTTTAAATGTATTTAAAAAAAATCTACTACACTTTAATATTAACTTGCAAGAACGACGGGGCGGGGACGCCGTCGTGGGTAACAGAGTATATTTATGGTAGGTATATAGGTTTGCAAAAACAAATTTTTATTACCAAAATAACTATTCTACGTGAACGAAGTCGCTGACACAGCTAGTTAGGACATGTATATGTTCTATGACTCCAGTATGCAACTACGTCAATACTTACCCTAGTTCGCCTTGGTATAGTGAAGTACGCAACTGTGTTGGAATACAGGCGTTCTAAGTTCTCTTCTTCCCAATAGAAGTCAGGAGTGTCCAGCAAATCTGATTCTACTGTCAATCTGTGTCGCAGTGAAAATAGCTCTCCAAGTTTTTTTACCACCTGTATAATAGAAAGTGTCATGACGTTGTTTGCAAATCCAATATTCTATAATTTATCTGAAAACAAAGCCAGAGAAAAATCCAGAAAATGGCAAAAAAAACTCCTAATCCTACTTTTTATGTGACATATTTTACAATGTTTTTTTAACTGCCTTTTTTTAAATTGTAATATTTCTTTCCAGGCTAATACATAGTATATATGAAGAAAAAAGAAATGTATACCTCTTTTTTCTCAACACGCGATGCACCCTCAGTCTCCATAAGAGCAGTATGCGATCTGATGGAAGACGCGAGAGTCTCAAGCCGAGCCTCCCACGCACCGAGTCGGGCAGATTGTACCATAGCATGACTAAATAAAAATGTACAAGAGACGTTTAATTGGTTTTGGATCTTTCGTCTAAATGGTCGGTCGTGGGTTTGATCCCCACCGGGTCACACATGTATTCTATTTTTCAATTTATAACTTTTCTTAAACATGTGGGACTTCGTCTGGAAATGTGGATTAACGGGTGGTAGGAATGTTGGGATAAACTTCCGAAAAGCGCATACCTCCGATCGATCTGAAATTTGGTATACTTATGTATTTTGACCTCCTAATCACGAATATCATAATTACGTAAGTAAAGTGTTTTATTTAAATGTGTACTACTCGCGTAAACTATAGACAATATTATATTATAATCTAAATATATCACAAACAAACCTGAAAGTGTATTTTTCTAATGAGTTCTCTCCATTGGCAACTAACACAAAACATGACTCCTGAAGATGGCATGATTTCCTAAAAATAATTTTCACCATAATTAAAATTTAAAAAAGAAAGACATATAGTACTAACCAGTAAAGAATTTTAAATAAAAAACTTACACATTGGATTGATAAAAATATGTCATAATTTCTCTCTCCCTGTGCACCACTTCACGAGGATAGCTTTCTATTTCAAACCTAAAAATAATTGAATACTTTTTGTTATATACAGAAATTTAAATGCATATTTATGTATATTGGTGTTTAGCTTAGAAACCTTTTGTACCTATTAGCCAGGAAAACTATAAAAAAATATGTATGTAAATTACCCTTTCTCCTCCCAAGTTCTCCACATCGCTTATTTACAATGTGAAGAATAAACCTATAATTGTATGCATTTATAGTTTCTTAGATTAAATTATTGACATTCGATAATCAAAATATTGAGTCAGTAATGTTGATATAAAATAATCCACCTCAGAACCTATGAGATAGTCAAGGTCATACACAATTATACTCACACAATGATTTTTTACAACAGACTTAGTAATTAAGATTATTTTTAAAATTTCCCATTGTCTGAATTGTTTATTCTCACACTATGCACAGAAATACTCACGGCTTAATAAAATCCAGAACATTCTTAGCCTCTAACTCAGTACAATTCCAGAATACAACTGCGCCTTCTTTGAAAAATAATATTTGTCGTGGTTCATCTCCAATTGAGTATACAGCATTTGCTACCATAACATCACCAACTTCTTGAGCTTTCAATCTGAAAGAAATAATTAGCTATACATTTTTCATGATTTGTCCATCTTTAGTGCTAGTTTTTTTATACCTATTTAACAGGCAAATTCCAAAGCCTATATTTTTTACATCTACAAATACATAGTATCACATAAAAAAACATATAATTTTTTTGTTAATACCTCCAATTCAAAATTATACACAATTAAAACGACCACTTAGCGTGAGAGAGTTTTTTGTACTTCTTGATATTTCCAAGGATTACATCATGAATTTTCATTTTAACAATAGTTCAATAAGCCTTACGTTCCAGGTTCATAGAGTTTCTGCTGTAGTAGGGCCTCTTTTAAACCCTTTAAATCGTAGGCATTTGCGGTGGCATAAGCCAAAGTTAAGTAATGTCCTTCCTTTTGACTAACTTCTTCCAATACAGCCTTCTTGTAAACAGTCTTCTTTTTTATTGGCAAACTAGCATTATCTAACGCTAAAGGCGGTTGAATCGCATCTACACTATAATTCCTAACTGCACAACACGATGTGGTAGAAAATAAATTATTTTGCTTGAAATAAAATGCATTTGAAGCCGGTAGTAATTCTGGTATACTGTTACATATTAATATTCTCGTCGCAGAGTTTCGGAAGATATTTCCCACAATTTTTGACATAAAAACACTCATGACTAGTTGTTTCATAAAACTTCTTAGTACGGAGCATAGGACAAACTAAAACACTATCTTAGTAATTGTATTTCAAACATATGAGGTTATTTTTACATAAACATTAAACATCAACCACTTTGCTAGAATGAGTATACAATGTCAGATGTCAAAACAAATCTCATAGAATGTATCGCGTTATAGCTGCGTGCAATAGATTATTATAGATTTACGATAAAAATTTTGTCATGGTTTTTGATGCTTTATTAAGTCAAAATAAAACATTTAAGTTGGAATTGTAGTAATATTTGGACAATATTAAATAAATTCCAGATTTTTCATGACTCAACTGAGCTTTTTTTACAATGAAAATTTCACTCTAAAAGCGTGATGCCATCTTCTGCGGTAAATAAAATGTGTAGTTTTTTTGCGAACTCTTTTCCTACTCGTCTTGATTTGGACCCAGGAACAGCGGAGCGAGATACACCAATATCGGCTAGTTTATTTACACCATCTGGTTCTTGTAGTGCCTGAAATATTAAAGATAACGTTTAGTACCAACGAAGTATGAAAAAACGAAGGCATCCGTAGTTAGTATGCATAAAAATAGTCAAGATAGCTTAAAAAACCTTTTAATATAAATCCTCACCTCATATAGCATTTTCGGACTATTATATTTACTACAAATGGCTCGCGCGATTTCCAAACTAGAATTGGGCAATACCGCTAACATTTGTTGCCACAACATGCCTACGCCGTCACCTTTAAAAATTACAGGTAAATTAAATGTGGATCAAATAAAATGAACTTATTCTCTTAGTTTTATCACCGAATGTAATTTGGTGTTTGTGTTTAAATATTTTTCGTTATTATTAATACATAATTATGTGAATTGCATGCATTAATAGTGATTAAAAATACCATTTTTTGATACTGGTACACATTTCTTGTTGTCTCCTCTCATATAGAAGTCTGCTTGTTCATCATAGGCTCTTTTTGCTTTCCTAAAATAATAGAAATTAGGCAGGTCTAATCTAATCTCTATCTCTCTATCTCTACTAATCACTATATGCTTGTCTTTTCTCCAATAACTATATATTTTTAGCATAACTTACTTAAATGGAGCCTCTGCTATGGCTTTAGTAAACTGGGTTATGGTCAGAGCAAGCTCATTTGGCGTATTTGCTATGATAGTATCGCAATTAGCACTCACAAGGAGATCTGAAATATATAATTGGAATATAGATTCAGACAAGAGACATTCTTTCATCAAAGTCGTTTTTTTATGAGTTTGATGAAAGAATTGCAAAGAAGAAGTATAATTACCAGTTAGGGCCATTTCTAAATCAATATATTCTATTTTCCTCTCCTGCTGAGCTTTGGCTCTTCGTCCTGACGATCTAAAAGCATTGTATTTTCTTTTTTAAGAATTCAATATGGTGGTATTAGTATGAAAGGATTGGTAGGTCAGAAGTATTGGGTTTTTTGGAAAGATGACATTTTTTAGTAAAAATAATTTAAGTCTCCTTTAGATTATTTATTGAAAAGACAACAAAGCAAAATTTTAAGGTCCGGTCAAATTGTCAGGACAAATACTTCATTAAAAATTTTTTTAGATGGCGGTAGACTATTATTATTGTTATAATGCTGGTCTATACATACTTAAAATAGTCCCTAACATCATAGAGGAGAAGAGTTAGTTGGCATCCAGCCAGCTCTGCAGCTTGGCACATATGCTGTGACAATGTCTGTGACACCAAATAGTCTTCCATGTCGTCTAGCCTCGCTATATAGAGACCATGGTCACAAGCATCATTGGTTGGTGTTAAGCCAACCTGAAAAGAAATAAAAATTCTCATATTTACTTTCTGGCCTAAAATAATTAATCATACTTTTAAGACAATGCTATATTTTGCATATTTATATTTTGCAATTGAGTTAATATGGAGGTTCACAATTTCCTTTATATATATAAGATAATCATTTTTTTATGGCCTTGTAATTACATAAGTTTCTACTTCAAACTTTTAACTTACATACATTACTTTAAAAATTATAAAACTTGAATACTTTGACTATACATACCACACCATTATGAGTAGTAAATGTAGGCTCTACAGTTCTATTCCACAAAATGAGTCGGTAGTCAGATAAACTGCTATTAGCCTTAATCTTTGCTCCAGAAGCTATAACTTCCCTTGATACATCTGCACAGTACCAACATTCTAAGAGAAATGGATGGATTTCTACTGTCATGTACTGGAAAATGAAATAGATTGTTAAAAGTTAGTAACAATATTTGTTTTTTCTCCACAAATGGCTCAATATGAATTGCTAAGAAAAAATTTACAAAATTACTTTATGATTATATAAAAACTCTACCTTCATACATTCACCTGGCTTGTATATTTTCTGTGCACCTTTAGCTAGCTTTGGTTCCCCCACTTCTTTTTCCACATTGCTCTTCTTTGAACAATTCGTGTTTTTGTCTGTATGTTAAATATTTTATGATTTCAGATATGTGACTATTTCACTATAGTAATTTCCATTTAAATTAACCATACCTGCTTTTTGTAAACTTTTTGAACTACTTTGAGATGATGACGGTATATCAGCATTTGAATTTTGGCTGCTGCCTTAAAAAAATATATTAAAATGCGTTATAACTTTTACAATACTCTTTCGGGTTACTTCGTTAAGAACAACAAATATCTCACACCTTTCGATGATAAATATACATCTGGTAGTTCTTCTAATTCACTATCCGATGAATCTAATGCTATAACATTCATATTCCTTCGTTATATTTAAATTATGTACGATATTAGTAAACCTCAGAAATTAAATGCAATATTTAAGTGTGTAAATATGTGACGTCAAAAATGCACTAGGAGAAAACGTGCATCTGAACATACAACATCTACCCACATAAACATTATTACATGAAAAATGCAAACTTTATCGTATTCGTACTTTTCGATTTGTTGTTATTTTGATTTAGTCCAACCATATGTCACTGTCATGTCAAACGTTAAAAAATTGTCACCGTCAAACGTCAATCCAACCGCTCATTTCGATTACGTTTAACACAATGCTACCGGTATTAAAAAATAAAATCCAAAATACATACTCTTAAATTTCATAATACTTAATAACACAAAACATTTAAAAGGTAACAGAAAATCTTGGGCGAATCACACTGAATATGGGAAAGAAAATAGTCGTCGAACATCACCTACACTCGAACTCGCTGTAAGTTCTTTTGACTTTTTTTTATATTTTTAAACAAAGCGCAGTTTTAAAATACATACCTTATTCGAGTAAGACCTTATAGAGTGTCAAAATTGTTAGTTTAAAGTTGGGGTTTTGAAAGTCATATCTACTTGGAAAATTCGTTAAGCAAAATGTTGAAGTGATATAACTAGATACTCAGTTGTACATCAAACTATAGACCTCAGTAAGTTCAAAGCAAAATAGGACAACACCTGTACACCGTACGTTCCATCTGCTTATAAGATATCGTATTTTTCTTCTGCTATAAAAAATACATGCAGCCGCTCGCCGTACGAAAATATTTCGTTAATCAGTGTTTGACTTTATAAGGGTTCATTAATGCTTAGGTTTTACTAAGAAAAGATCAAGTAATTATTAAAGTAAAAATTTTGTTATATTTTTATGTGTTGAAATGCACCGCATAAGGCACGTGCTCATATTGAGAAAAAACAACGATGCTTTACACTTGAACGCCCTCGATTGCCTCGAACTTGCTGAATTCGTCGAAACATTTGCAACTTGAACTGTATGCGTGCTGCTACGATAATACAATGCATTCTCAAAGACTATTTGACTGATATTTTCCAGTAAGTAAAGTTCGTTAAGGTGTGTTGTATAAAGGGAGATATTAGGTTATATCAAAATTTAAGCTAAGTTTTGTGGCCTTCCAAAGGTAGGTTAAGGCATTAAGATTCACGTATTTCAAAAAAAATATTTTATTTATTTTGTGTTACATGATTTTATCTTATATAGGGAGCCCTACCTAAAGTATATATTTATTACATTTTAAAATGTAATATTTTTAGCGCGCATTGTCTTTTAGTAGACTGGGCGGCGCCATGTCTGCGAAACATGTATTTAACATTCTATGGTCTGTGACGGAGGGTTCCTCATTCCCTCCTCGATCCTCCAGTCTGTCTTTATTTACGTTCGGGTTCGGGTGTCCCCTTGCACTCTCCCAAATACATTTTCGATTTATTCAAATAAATATTATGGTTTTATTATAATCTATTCGTAAACAATCATCACAATCTCGCTTACTTACGTTTGTGCTTAAAACGCTGTCGCCAATGCTGAAAAGTATAAATATTTTGATTAGTGACAATTAAAAAAAAAAACATGGATTGGCGCGAAAAACTTTTCGGCCGTGTCCTCGTGAAATGCGATTCGCCGGGAACGCAGAATGGGAAATTCGAGAATATTCAGACCCTGGTGGCGTTGTCCGATTGTGTCGAAGAAGGGGATGGGGCCGTATGTGGTATTTACTTTTCGTTCGCAAATATCAGTGACGCTAGTGACGATTTCGGTGTGAGATTAGAGCAACTTTATAGGTCGGTCTATCCGCGATTGAAAGTGGTGGAAGTTGTGCTGTGGGCTCATGTGGGGACACCGGAAGGACCGGTAGAGCGGGAGGCCGGATTCCGTCGCACTTTGACCGGGAAGCCGTGGTTTGCTGTGCCATTTCATGACGTCGATACCAAAGTAAGTCACTTCAAGTTTTTACATATCCAGTTTTACGAATAGTTTTCATATTGCTCACTGAAGTATCAACCGCCTGTGAAATAGAGCCCTCGACATCCCAGGTACAGGTATCTGAAAACACGATAACTTGTTTCGATTCGGTGTGCCCAAATCAATTAACTAAGCTAGCGTTGGTTCAAACACAAGCAGTCAAATTTCGGACTCGGCTTGTTGGTCTAACGGCAGCAATGCATGGTTAACAAGGTGCGTTTCGTGGGTTCGATGCCATTTTTTAAGTCAATTTAAAATTATCTCGTCCGGGACACGACCCGCAGTCCACAATTAAATAACCCATGAAGTTCAGTCGCGTTTTGTTTCTGTCTGTGGATACATTTCGATATTAGAATTAGAATAGCCAAAATAAGTCGGCATCGCATCTAGTATTACATGGATATTGCACCTTCCGTCGAGTGAACATCACGCTCGTCTTCCCTCTATCATACAATTTTTTTTTATTTTAAAGAAACAATAAGAGGTGAGTAGATAGGTACCCACTTAAGTCTAATTTCGGACGTAAAAACGGGAAAATTTAATTAAGTTAAAAATGCGCGCTGCAGTGTGAATACAAACAAAATGAAATGGCGTACATAAACCTAAGAATTATTATCCACGCGATATAAAGCACCTTTTCCCCTCTATAATTATTCCTAAGAGGTGGGTTCGTGAGGGTGTACACCCCTCTAAGTGTTGCAGTAATCAACGCAACGCTACCACTATGTATAAAAGAATATTTATGCTATTTACATACAAATTATCATCTTGATGCTTTCTTTTAACTTACTTACTTGGTTTTGTTTAAAAACCTCAAGAAAAACCATTAGTCTTCGTATGTGCTATAGAACATACCGGCTATTACATTGACACATTCTCGACATTTACAGTAATAACTAAGTAATGCAATTAATTTTGACAGAACATTTTAAATTAAACATCTATTTAGGCTGAAGATTTGACGGTACGAGCGGAACTTGAACCGGCTTCCACGGCGTTCCGTGCTGCTGCATTGTTCAATTGAGATACTATCTTTATTGTCGAAAGTCTTCATAATTCAAACCATTCATACGTGTTCTTCTCGTGCAATGCAATTCCAACCTTAACACTTACGAATTGAGGTTCAATGTGTGTTATTCATGTATATAACGCCATCATTTGCAATAACGTGTGCAAAGTATAAAAATTTTCAAAAGAACATTTATAATTATGAAATTGGGTCCCCAACCCACTACCGACAGCGTTGTATTCGTTCTGTACTACTTGAGATATTGTGCTCTAATTGTAGGTAGATTATTTTAGACACTCAGTTTCTAAAACATAATATAAGATGGTGACTCTATGAAGTGCAAAGCTTTCTAAGCTTTCCATTGTTCACGCAAAGCACTTGGAACCTCGCAACTTTAATAAACAGCAAACAATGGGCACTTCCACCATGCTATGATCATATTATGTTGCTTGGAACCGCGAAGAATACTTACCTCTTTGAATGGAGTTAAAACACTAATTAAACAAGCGTCGATATAGTGCTATAGGAACCGGGAACTCGGTTATTTTCCGTTTAATTTAATTTTAGCGCGTAAAGTATTTTTAAACTTGTATCTTGATTTTTCTGCTCATCGCGAAACCATATTTTTATATGAATTAAAAGTGCACTCAAGTTTAGAGTGCCCGCTTCCATCTTGGTTATTGAAATATACATAACTAGCTGTGTCAGCGACGTCGTCCGCGTAAAATTTGGGGCGTAAACATTTGTTTTTTTGAAACTTCCCTGTTAACTCTACAAATTTAAGCCGCCGTTCTTGCAAGGAAGAATAATTTTCCCCGTTTTTTCTTCGCTCCTATTAGCTGGCCTAGCTATATTCATATTTCATCCTTCCTCGATAAACGCTTTAATCAACACAAACAGAATTTTTAAATACTAACCAGCAATTCAGAGATTATCGCGTTCAAACAGACAAACAAACTCTTCAGCTTTATATATCAGTATAGATTTAATTAAATCAATGGTTTTAAAAAGTTTAGTAGCAAACCTTTCGAGTCACCGGATAGTACTAATCTAAAAGTTGACATAACTTCGCTAATCAATCTATGTCTAAGCAGTGGGGTGTCATTGAGGCAGACAGGGAGTTATTTAAATATTGTTACAAATTTTAATCTGTTTTAACGCTTTGACTATTACACATTTATATAAAACTCTTTTTTTAATGAAATATACTCTCTAGTCGTAGTCCCATCCTGCCTACTGCTCCAGCATTCAAAACAATTAAAAGACATTTCTCGTTCACACTAGCCATTAGTATCACTCTATTTGCTGCAACACAACAGTGAAATAGTAATATTAATCAAGTGGGGCTTTTCAATTTCTAACATAATGGGAGGATGGCAAACAAATGCAGTCCAACAAAAGCTCGCATTCAGTGGCCCGCGTCTGCGCTCCACAAACACTTGACATCCATATTCCATACGCCTATACGCTGCGCTTGCTTTTCCACACATCGATCGCGGTTCGGCGGAACCGGAAACTATTATTTATCTCATTAGCTCGGGCGTATGCATAACTCCGTTAAAATTGTTAGAGTTTAACTTACTTCGCACGTAATAATGATAATGAAGATGTAAAAAACGTCTATATTATTTAAATCTAACTGTGCCAGCGACTTCGTAGTAAATCTCTTATCAATAATTTTTTCATACATATTTTCGGTATCTTAAACCGTTTTCGCAGCGCACGCAACGCATAAAACAAAGATGAATATTTTTCCCTTTTCCTTCCCAACCTTCCTCGAGAAATGCTCTAACCAATCCAAAAAATGGTTCAATTCAAACCTGTAGTTCCTGAGATTAGCGCGCTTCAAACAAACAAACTCTTTAATTTTTTAATGTAGAATACTTTTTTAAGCATACATCTTATGATAGAGATTAAGAAGAGATATCTTTATAATAGTTATTTTTATCAATTTGCAACAAAATATGTTGTTCGTCATTCATATTAGGGTAGTTTTGCATCTATACTAATATATAAAGCTGAAGAGTCTGTTTGTTTGTTTGTATTGAACTACTGGTTCGAAAAAAAAATCTTTTACCTTTGGTTGGAACAGTTTATCGAGGAAGGTTATAGGATATAATCGCCCTGACGACTAATAGGATCAAAGAAACAGAAAGTGGGAAAAACAGGAAAAATTCAAATCTGGGCTTTCCTATCGATACCCAAAGAATATGGTTCAGGAACCCAGAGAATATTACTATTTAAATGATCTTAAATAAAGTTCGGGAGACTATATGTCTATAAGTTACAATATGTTATTTGATACTTAGCTAGATAGGATGAATGCCTAGGCAGGCTATTAAATTAAGTAAGAACATCCTCTTTTAACTGACAACGTGAGTCTTGTCCCACTCAGTATGACGTAGTGAAAGGAGTTGCACATTTTTACTCGCAATATAAAACTTACAGACAGACTGTTTAATTGTATTACTGTAGATATTGATTTGACCGCCCGGAGCTGAAAGCTTAAAATAGCTACGAGTCTGGAACAGATTATTTATTTCAGACAAAGCCAGATTGTGTATGGACGTATAAAATTAAATGACTATGATACATTGAAAGAAACAAAGATAATAAAATCTCTACATTCCTTTTGAACATCGTTGAGGCAAATCAAACCTGCTAAGTAGATATTACGTATACGTAGATTTATTATTTGTTATTTTCAATATAGGTAAAAAGAAATTAGTTTTTTATGTATTGGAAACTGATTAAAGTTTAAAATAGTTTAGCGACCCAAGCAGGAGGAGGAGTAGGAGTTCCACTACGTTTTATTAAGTCGTCGGTAAAAGTTCTACTCGCCATATCAATTTTTTCTTAAAATCCTATTGCACTTAAGTAAAGGATATAAAGTTTTCATAATCTTAGTTATATTTTACAGCTGTTAAGTAAATGTTGGATAATCATTTACTTGTTAAAAGTTATTTTAGTCCCATCCTTGTTATTTTTTTCCGATACTCCTGAAAGTCACTATAACTTAATATTTATTTTCAAAACAGGTGTAAATACTGAAAAATTTGCCGTCTGGAAAATCTATATAATATTTAATGCATAACAGGAATAGTCCGTCTGTCACGAACCACCGTTCCGAATTGAAAAAGCGCAAATGAAAAATCGCGTTTCGCTTACAGTCAACGAAAAACAATAGAACAATACTATATCCTGTTTAGCCAAATGTATAGCATATACACTTGGCAGGAGGTATTTCACCTCATCATGTGAACTCTATGCTTGTCCGTAATCCTCTACCATAGAGCCATTTGTAAGTATTGCGATCTAATTACAATTGCCGCAAAGGAAAGGAAATGAAAAATCTCATTCCAAAAATTACACGTGTCACGTGATTAAGCGACGACATTAGCTTTGCGCGTCGCCGCCAGAACTACTGTGTAAAAGTGCATTGTGCGAGGTAACAAAGTCCCTTTGAAACGGGCCCGTGTAACCGACACTTGAATTTAACTCATTAGTGGTGAGCCACTGGCGGTCACGGTTCAGAACGCGACACAAATGCACTGCAATGTGCATCCTGCGTCCGCTAGGGTGACACGCGGTTATGGAACTTTCGGATAAAAATAACATATTTCTTAAAGCTAGAGATTTAAGCTTAAGCTGAAGGTTATTGGAATATTGGGGCTCTATATTATGTTATTGCACATGAAAGATTTTATGAAGCCAGGAACTATTTTTAAGGGATATTAAAAACGATAATACTTAGACAGACTTACTTTCTTACTTGTGGTAAAGAATTATTTACCACAAATAAAAAGTCGTTGAGTATATGTAAAACGTGTAAAATACTGCCTGTAGTTTACGCGAGTAGTACCTATTTAATTAAAACACTTTGACGGTTTAAAACGCAATATATATTCACAGTCAGCCAGACAGAAAAAGAAAATTTAAGTTAAAAAGAAAATATATATCA